TTGAAATTATTCCGTGGGGACCCTTTTCCTTTTTTGTACAGAATTTCACGACCCACAAACTTCCTTTCCTCTATTTTACCGGTAGCTCTGACCCTTTCAGAACTAACGGCAAAAACGTACATTTGTAACCTTTGACCTCGGGAAGGGAAAAAATAGCGCACAAGCGGGGCCGATAGGAAGTTTTGACATTATACTTATTTGCAATGACGCAACTAAGTATTTAATAATGCAATAACAACAATTATCTATATATATAAAACTCAAAGGTGACGGACTGACATAGTGATCTATCAACGCACAGCCCAAACCACTGGACGGATCGGGCTGACATTTGGCATGCAGGTAGATGTTATGACGTAAACATCCGCTAAGAAAGGATTTTGATCAATTCTACCCCCAAGGGGATCAAATAGGGAATGAAACTTTGTCAATTTTAAACCGATCGGGATGAGACTTTGCATGCAGGTATAAGAATAATCATAGATGAATTTCATTGTGTGTAATACAAGCCTGAGAACAAAAACTGTAGTCTACACTTCAGGTCTACACCGAAGCGAAGCGAGGGCAGGCCGCTAGTTATTAATAAAATTGTAACTTTACCACATTGAACGGGACCGACAGTTTGCATGTACTCATTTACTATACATATAATAAAATGATAGGAAAGTCAAAACTGTACATTGAATATTTTTTTAAAAAAATACTTGGGGTGTGATCTACAATCGATAGCGAAGCCAAAAATATAGTTTTAGAATTTTATGTATTTTTTTATATTTATGTATGTATGTTCGGGAAAAACTCAAAAAATAACTGCATGGATTTACTTCAAATTTGGCATGTATATTATTAAGAAGTCGGGTCAACATATAGGCTATATATTGTCACAAAACTCCACCTCTAAGGGGGTAATACAGGGGTTGGAAGTTTGTATAAAAGTCCTATGTTTTTTAAGTAAGAGACTTGAAATTTAACATGTATGCTCTATAGATGGTGTAGAGGTGTACTAATAATGTATCTTTAGAAAAAAAAAAACCATTTGGGGTCACTAAGTATGTGCAAATAACTAACTCCATGCGTACGAAGTCGCGGGCAGCCGCTAGTTTGTATTAAGAATGTGCAAGTTGCTATTAGCATAAGTAATGTTAGTATACATGTTCTTATTCAACACTTTTTTTTTGAGTGTATATGCTGTTGGTTGCAGAAGACCTTTACAGCGTCAAAATGCAGGTTCAACTCGCCGACTCTGTAAATAATAAAACAGGTAGAAAATAACTTCCCTTGCTGAGTTTCTTGCCGATTCTTCTCAGTACATGGTCTCCCGCCGTAGATTTACGAACCGATGGTGTAGTTTAGCCTATAAACTGAATAGATTATTTTGATTATGATTATTATGATATTGGCGGGTTTGAGGACGGTGAGATCCTAAGGGGACCGCAAGCCGAGAATTGGCGAGTGCCTCTAGAGATATTTCAGGCGGATGGCGTCTCCCGACGGGGGGAGTCTCCTCTCCGTCTGGAGCCTCTAGACCACTCGAACCTGAGGGGGTCGGCTCAACTAGAGGGCTTCTCTGAGACTCGGACCCCGGCTCTAGTTAGCCGTTGTCGTGCCACTACCCGTTTGTTAGTGCGTAAGGGAGTTAGGGAGATCGGGTCCATTACTCCCTAACTCTTATTACTCCACCCCTAGTCAGGGTAAGGCTAATAGGCCTTTAATGGTGGCGAATGGTGGCAGATAAACGCACACCCTGCACCATACGTAAAGTGGTCTCTGAACTAAAGTTATTTTTGTGATGAGCACGAATATTTGCTTCCGAGTTATGGTCGTTTACATCCTCTACATGAAATCCTATTTCGTAAACACCTTAACAAGCGAAAACGTACCCATCTCAACTTTAACGTCAAGTGACAATTGTTTCTATTAATTTTAAGCAGTGCCAAGCATTGTCATAGCAACATATTCGATTGGAAAAGTTAGCGTTAATTGCACCAAATTACTTTAACTATTCAGTCAAAGTACCGGTTAGGAACCGGTTTAAAAATTGGTTGCACCATTGACGATAGTCAAAATGAGGTCGTAATTTGGCAGTGACAACTGTCCATGCGAGGGCTGTGACGTTAGCATGAACCAAAATCAATTCGAATAGTTTGCGAGTCCGAAATGTCATTGTCAAATGTGTACTGATTTTTAGTTCTCGTTACGTCCGTTCTGGCGCTGCTGTTCAAGTTTCAATACAAAATTTGACATTGACATTTCGCATTATCAAGCTATTGGAATTCGATTTTGGTTCGTGCTAAGGGTACAGTATCCCTAACACGAACCATTATCGAATTAAAATAGTTTGCAAACCGAAATGTCAATGTCAAATTTTATATGGAAACTTGAACAGCAGCGCCGGAATGGACGTAACCAGAACTAAAATCAGTACATATTCAGGACATTGACATTTCGCACTCGCAAACTATTCGAATTCGATATTGGTTCATGCTAAGGCTAAAAAACATAGTAAAATTTAACTTCAACTGGTTCTGAGCAACTTACAAGTGGTCCATCCATCCACCATCAACAAGTGGTCCAAAAATAAAGTACGTGACGTCACAGGTCATTTAATAATTTTATTGTATTTTATTTTGATTGTATTGTGTAAATATAATGTAGTAATATAAATAGCTGTTTATTTCCATATTTTTTATTAATTTATCCTGTTGTAATTAGTTAACTTTTGTAATGTTATTTATGTAAACGAAACACGTAGCGCCATCTAGTATCGCTTTGGAAGAATTCCACACAAGCTGTTGTACTCTGTGTCTAGTCTAGTCTAGTCTATGATTTTCGATATAAGAACGCAAATCTATTACTCAGTGTGTCAATCCGTGTGTAAGAATGTCTTGTGTTATTATAAAATGTTTTCTTCTTTCTTCTTCAACCATTTTAAGATATACTTCTTCACTGATATTTTTTATTATCCTTTTGGTTTAGTCGCTGCAAGACTTGACTGTAAACATTGTAAGATTATGATTTTATTTATTTTTAAGCATTTAACTGCTAGATGTTTAAATCTAAAGAAAAGTTTACTAGAAAAAAAAATCCACGCGGACCAGGCAGCGGACGGGACTCGAACCCGCATCCTTCGCAATCCGGGCGAATGCACTGACCATTATGCTACCACGGCCCTATTAGCCGCGTCGAAATTTTCCTAGCCTTAAGCTGCAAGGCAGCGCCATCTCTTCGCATTGTAGGTAACCCACAATGTCAAATGAAAACTTTTTCAAGTATTAAACATTTGAAAGAAGAAATAGCAATTATAGTTATGTTTTTTTTTATTTTTTAAGCATTTAACTGCTAGATGTTTTAATCTAAAGAAAAGTTTACTAGAAAAAAATCCACGCGGACCAGGCAGCGGACGGGACTCGAACCCGCTAAGCTAAGCTAGGTTAAGGCTAGGAAAATTTCGACGCGGCTAATACGGCCGTGGTAGCATAATGGTCAGTGCATTCGCCCGGATTGCGAAGGATGCGGGTACAAGTCCCGTTTACAATGAATGTTTACAGTCAAGCGCAAAATTCACACAGCACGTAGCGGCTTTCATAGCACACGCTTCTTTGTGATTGCATGTTTAGCAGTGGTCGCATGGTTTGAGCGGAAATTCTAATTTACACGGTAAAATTAGTTCCCACTAAGGGTAACACGTTGGATGTACCTCTAAAGAACTTGACCTTTTTGTCGCTTAAAATGTTAATTATAAAGCAGTTATCCTGGCCGCGTTGGTGGGACCGTTTTATTAAGGTATAATTATCGGTATGAAGGGTTTTATTTTAAAGTCCGTGCTACGAAAATAAAAGCCCGACAACATTTGCCTTCCCACCTAGTGTTATGAGTTCAGTTATTTAACGATTATGTACAATAATGAGCAAATCAAATCAAAATAAGTCAGCACTGAACTGTTGCCATTTTTAATGCTTACTTACAAGTTCTTCTTGTCCTTTCGTCTAAGTTCTCCGCCGGAAGGTTATCTAAATTGTGAGAGCTAACTAAAAATGACGAGCTGGTTATCTAACAAGAATAAACTAGTTTTTTTTAGTAATAAAAATAAGTTTTATTTTTATTATTAAGGACGAGCCAGACGCGCGCACCAAAGCTACTACAAACTTGTAAATCAAATCAAATACCCCTAAACTTTATTTGTTTTGATAATAATGTTCAAATTGTTTTCTGTTAACTGTAATGAATGTTAAGAAAGTTGATGATATCTGGTGAAAGCCCATACTTTATCTGCATCATACAATGACTTCTATGTGATCCCTAAATGAAATGGTAATGGTTCAAATTTTTAGGTAAACACTAGGATTATTGGCGTAAAAAATCAAAGCAATTTCAATCAGCGACATACTTTGAAACTGCAATTTAAAATTAATTTCAAAAAGTTTCTGTACATTGTATTTACATGGTAGCATCATAGAGCAACACCGCCGATGCGTCTTGCCATAATGACATAACCTACTAACTGTACCTCTAGCACGAACCAATATCGAATTCGTATCGTTTGTGAGTCCGAAATGTCATTGTCAAATGTGTACTGATTTTTAGTTCTCGTTACGTACTTTGTGCCGGTGCGGTTCAAGTTTCCATACAAAATTTGACATTGACATTTCGATTTGCAAACTATTCGAATTCGATAATGGTTCGTGCTAGGGGTACTGAAATCATTGTGCTGCTTAAAGCAACGTGGCCAATACAGGTGCCACTCAACGGATTAATAATATTGTTTACAAACAAATAAGCAACCCGAATGGCTCCCTAAATACATAATACTCTTCTCTGTACCGTCGTAGGTGACAAATACTTGAACAAGATACAATAAAAAAGTGGTGCTGATTTATGTTCATCTTATTTGTCATAGTTATTTACAAATGAACAATACAAAGTTGTAATTATATTTGATTTAGTATATTTATTAAGATAACACTGTACAACAATAAATCTTATATTTAAACAGATCATAATACCAGTCAGTTTAGAATAGCACCACGTACTTACAAACAAAAAATATCACAAACCTTTGGGTTAAACTCTGTCTTAACATTAACTAATCTTTGGCATAACCTAAGTACTTTCGGTCCACAATCCTTAATTTTCGACGAAAAGATTTCACATTAAAAATTTAAATTCGTTACACTCAATTAGCTTAGTTCAATCTAACCATGTCGGATTTTCATGGCACAAATTCATGGCATCCCAATACGATGGAGGTGTGTCTCTTGCTATAACAGCATCGATGTTGTTTTCTCCAACTTCTATGGGCACTTTCAGAACTGCATTCTTGTAAAACGCTGGCAATACTGCTGTCACATAAATGAAGTAATTCCTGCTTACTAATACCGAATTCTGTAAAGTGAACGCATCCTTTGGTACGTCCAAAACAGCTTTTATAACATCAGTGTCTCCTCTGGACTTTAATGATGGATTTAAGGATATTGAATAAAGATCATCGTATACATCTTCGGATATGTCTGTGGCTTTTATTTTCAGCTCTTCTACAAGTTTCACTTTGATCTGCTTGATATTGAATGCTGTATCATTTTTCACGTCGCATTTAATTTGAACTCTGCCTCCTGTTTCGACAACTGAATTGTCTACAGTTACTTTTAATGCAACAGAATTTTCTCCTCTACTAAATAATTTTTCAATCTTCCTTTTTGATTCATACGTAACTGGAACTCTTGGCAATGTGGGTACAATACCCGACGATACATTTATACTTTTCTTAAAACTCTGAGAGTGTCTCATGAGGCCAGGTCTTACAAATTTGACGCGGATGTAATAAAATATTTTGTAATTGATGCAATATCCATCTTTGTTATTCTTGTAATCAAAAGATTTCGGAATGTTGTAAGGCAGCGTCATGGAAAATGGAATTTCGTACGTACCAGCGGCGAATGTCACTCCTTTTTCGTCTTCGAGGATGAGGTTATTTATTTTCACGTAATTCTCGTTAGAAATATCCGAACTAGAGTTTTGGCAAGTTCCATCAACTGTCAACAAATCTTCGCCCATAAGAGAAACAGTGATTTTCTTGAACGTTAGATTTTCACTCAATTTATATTTGATAACTCCAGATACTGCTTCTCCAGGCACAAATGAATGATCAGGTTCTCTGTCTAAGTTTATTTCACATAAGATAGCCATTTTTATTTAAGATTATCGAGAGTTTTAACTATTTAAAAGGAAATGTGTGCTGTATCTTATAATTGCAGATACTGAAGTAGCTAACTAAATATGTCCAATATATATACCAATTTGTTTATGGATGTTCCAAAATCTTATCTTTGATAAGTTATCGGTACGATATTTGTGAAATGTGTTCCAAGTCAAGGACTTGGAACACATAAAGATATCAGTGGCTATTACATAGATATCAAGTAAATTTTAGATAATTAATCATTGTTGTTAAGTTTATAGGTATACAGCGTCACTGATCATTGATTCCATAGTAAAACGCCACATGCGATATAATTTTTTTAGGGTTCCGTAGCCAAATGGCAAAAAACGGAACCCTTATAGATTCGTCACGTGCACCCGTCTATCCGTCCGTATGTCACAGCCACTTTTTTGCGAAACTTTAAGAACTATACTGTTAAAACTTGGTAAGTACATGTATTTTATGAACCCCCATTAAGATTCTCACGCAAAAATAGAAGAAGAAAAAATTTTGGGGGTTCCCCATATTTTTTTTTCAAAGTGGTATAATTATAAAAAAAATGATGTGGTGTCGTGGGACACCAGGTAGGAACGAAGTTCCTTCGGCTAATGTAGAATCGACACAAATTGCAAACTCGCTTGTGTATGCGACTGTCGCGCCTGCGCACGTCTCATTTAACGGTTTTATTCCACGCACTTTTTTCCACGGATTTTTTCTTACGGTTTGCTATCAAATTTTTTTCAGTTCGGTCGCGCAGCAAAATCCCTATCCCCTCCAAGCCTGCCGTAAGGAACATCGTCGCGCCTGCGCACGTCTCATTTAACGGTTTTATTCCACGCATTTTTTCTTACGGTTTTACTATCACATTTTTTTCAGTTCGGTCGCGCAGCAAAATCCCTATCCCCTCCAAGCCTGCCGTAAGGAACTTTTGTTCCAATTAATAATAAATAAATATTTCCAACACTCACACCAATTAGCCTAGCCCCAAAGTAAGCACTGTAAGGCTTGTGTTATGGGATGCCAGGGTAACGGATAGAATACATATACTGTACATATATAAGTATATTTTATATAGAAAAACATATTAAACATCCATGATTGGAGTACAAATGCTCGTATTCATCACACAAACATCTGCCCCCACTGGGACTCGAACCCGGGACCTCTCGAGTCGGCGACACCATGAAACCCGGCGTACAAACCACTCGGCTATGGAGATCGTCAATAATGTGTAAAGGTTTTATATTATGTTACTTGCTGCTACGCTGTTGAAACCGAATTCCGACTCGCACTTGGCCGCTTTTTTATTAATAACAATTTATGAAAAAGTAGCTTTGCCCACGACGTCGTCCGCGTGGAATTATTAATTTGGGTAGCTTATTTTTGCCCATTCTGTTTTTTCATGAATCTGCTTACTTCAATATTAAAAGGTTTGTGGTTTTGATTTGAAAACGCAAATTATTTGTACCTACATCCATAAATTAAAGCAAACAGGTCATGAATGGTTAGTAACTGCGAGTTAAATTTAATAAATCATCAACCTCTTGATGTTCCCATTGCTGGGGCTCAAGTCTTCACAGAATAGGGAGATTGGGCTATGACCCAGCAATATCTATCTATATATATAAAAATGAAACCCGTTTTCCGTTGTCACGACATAACATGAAAACGGCTTGACCGATTTGGCTGATTTTTTTTGTAGTTTTCTAATACTCTGTGCAAGGTTCTTACGGAAAAAAAATGGTTGCCTGTAAAGTCGGTTTTACGGGCGAAGATTTTACGTGACAACGTCTTTTTCTCGGTAGAATATTTATTGATATGAATATAATTAAATTGCACAATAGGAACAAGGAATTGAATGAAAATAAGAATTGCACAAATTTTAACTATAGAAATATATTTTGTTTACTAAAACATTGTACATGTAAACTTAAACTTAACACGAGAGACTCATCGTAACGTTACCGAGCGTTACACTTTTTCATAAGTGACTCCCAGCCGCAACCTAATTTAAGACGTTGTCACGTCAAAAAATATAAAGAAAATCTCTCAGAAAAATTGAAAAATATAACGTAACGAATGTCAACGTCATTCAATTTAAAACAAAAAATCTGTGGTAATCTGTGACACCACATCGATAACCGCGCTGACAAATGTCAACACATCCTTAACTGCGTTAACAATGAATAGGTACTCATACATAAGATAGGTCAGCTATACAAAATAAAGTAGTGCGTCAAAGCTACGCTAAGGCGGTACGAAGTTCGCCGGGTCAGCTAGTATAATATAAAACTCAAAGGTGACTGACTGACATAGTGATCTATCAACGCACAGCCCAAACCACTGGACGGATTGGGCTGAAATTTGGCATGCAGGTAGATGTTATGACGATTCTTAGCGGATGCCTATCCGCTAAGAATTTTGATCAATTCTCAACCCAAGGGGATAAAATGTAAAGGGGGTAAGTTTGTATGAAACTTTGTCAATTTTAAACCGATCGGTCTGAAACTTTGCATGCAGGTATAAGAAGAATCATAGATGAATGTCTTTGTGTATAATACAAGCCTGAGAACAAAAACTGTAGTCTACACTTCAGCTCTACACCGAAGCGAAGCGAGGGCGGGCTGCTACTTTCTAATAAGAATTGTTCCGTTATGACCTTTAAAAGAATTCCGTTTCACATCTCCAAAGTCCATTATCGGATCATGACAATTTTTCTATGAAACTATTTCCGAAGTATACCCTTCCGATTACACAAATATTTTTAATAAATTGAACTTAAATTGAGGGAGAAATCGCGATAATTACCTGCACAAATGTACATCCCCCCTTTTACATTCTTAGGGGATAATTCCGGGGATAAAAACATTTTGTTATTCTTCTCCTTCTATAAACAATCTTCATATTAAATTTCATCCAAATCGGTTCATACAGATTTTAAGAATTCCTCATACAAATTTTCACCCCTCGTTTTACCCCCTTAAGGGATGATATCTGAGATAAAACCTATCCAATCCAGGATTCAAACTGTCTCTATACCAAAATTAATTTAAATCAGTTCAATGGTTTAAGCATAAAGAGGTAACATACACACTTTCGCATTTATAATATAAGTATGGATATGGATGCCGCTTACCTACAAATTTGTGCGGAACCTTCGATAGGCGATTCCGAATCGCACTTGCCTGGGTTTTTTACTTTGTCGCAGTTTGTAAGATGCGAGGTAATTGTGTTTTTTACCGTTTGAAGACTATAAAAGGTGAAATACTTCGCTTGAAATTTGACTGTAAATTGTTAACGACCAAACTTCCCTGTTGGAACTTTTGCGCCGGCAATTTGTGCAGAGAATAGCTGTTTTTTTTTCATTTCTTACCCCTATTAAGTTAACAAATTGTTGCGGTGATTTAAATTATTTACTTATTATGACGAATTTCACTGTTATTTGTTAATATTGCTGGTAGTAGCTCCCTAGTGTAGATTACTTGTGGATGCCAAATGAAGTCGGAACTAAGCTAATAATAATAATATTTATTGCTTTTTCATGTAGGTGTACAGAGGTGTTACAAAGAATTCATTGAGGTCCTTACACGAACCCGGTTTGGCATAGCAATGTTGACCAGGCAGCGGACGGGACCCGAACCCGCACCCTTCGCAATCCGGGCGAATGCACTGACCAATTATGCTACCACGGCCCTGAAGGCCGCGTCGAAATTTTCCTAGCCTTAAGCTGCAAGGCAGCGCCATCTCTTCGCATTGTAGGTAACCCACAATGTCAATTGAATACTTTTTCAAGTATTAAACATTTGAAAGAAGAAATAGCAATTAGGGTTATGTTTTTATTTATTTTTTAAGCATTTAACTGCTAGATGTTTAAATTTAAAGAAAAGTTTTACTAGAAAAAAATCCACGCGTATCAGGCAGCGGACGGGACTCGAACCCGCACCCTTCGCAATCCGGGCGAATGCACTGACCAATTATGTCCGCGTGGATTTTTATTTCTAGTAAAACTTTTCTTTAGATTTAAACATCTAGCAGTTAAATGCTTAAAAAATAAATAAAAACATAATAATGTGCTTTAGAAAGCTTGTTACTAACAACTTAACGTAATTTTAAACATTTACATATTGCTAAAGCTGCTTAAATTTCGCAATTCCAGACTGAAAGTGCTTATCTCCTTACATTTGATACAGGAATAGACAGAGATAAATTGATCTCAACTTACCTCATTGCTGATACACCTTTGCTTTCTCGTCAATTTATGATAAGTCGCAGCGTACACCGGAAGAGACGCGGCAAAGATACTCAGCGCGGCAACTGTATTTTTAGGGTTCCGTACCTCAAAAGGAAAAACGGAACCCTTATAGGATCACTTTGTTGTCCGTCTGTCCGTCCGTCCGTCTGTCAAGACCCTTTTTCTCAGGAACGCGTGGAGGTATGAAGCTGAAATTTATATCAATTACTCAGGTCTACTGTCCCTTGAAGCTGTGAAAAAATCAAACTTCTAAGCCAACGCAATCAAAAGATACAGCCGTTTATGCTGCAAATTTTCGACACTTGCAAGGGAATCAAAACCTACAGGGTGCTTCCCGTGAACTCAGAATCTTGAAATTTGGTACCAAGCAACGTCTTATAGCATAGATAAAGGAAAAATTACGAAAACCATAAATTTTTAGTCACATCACATAATATATTTTTTTTTAATAATTTTAACCTTACTACCCATTTCCTCATAAACGCGTAGAGTCATTAAATTGAAATTCATACCAAATACTCAGGTCTATAATACCTTTAAGCTGTAACAAAATCAAACTTCTATGTCAACGCAATCAAAAGAAACAGCAATTTAAGCTGCATATTTTGAAACTCGCAAGTACTCGCAAGGGAATCAAAACCTAAAGGGTACTTCCAGTCGACCTAGAATCTTGAAATTTGGCATGAAGCAACGTTTTATAGCACACATAAAGGAAAAATTCCGAAAACCTTAAATTTTTAGTTACATTACAAAATATATATTTTTTAATAAATATAATCTTATTACTTTTTTCC